TAGGAGCCCTATATACCCTAAACTCCTCACCTGTGGTTTCCTTTAATAAGGACGCTATATTGGGCTGAGGGCTCTGGAGTTGCATATGGGATTTCTGCGTTTATCGGTTCCACATGTTCTAGGTGTTGACCAGGTTCAGGATTTAGGGCTTAAGAAAGGGACCTGGATAATTAGGACTTTTTTTGTTTTTGGAAGGTTGCTTGTTATATTTATACTAGGAAGGAGCCCAAAACCCTATTGAAATTATTAAGGCTCCTACATTATAGGGTTTAGGATGGAAGCCAAAGCCCTGAAACACGAATATAGGCTGAGAGACTGCTGCTGTCCCAGGTGGCTGGTGAACATTTGGCCCGGAGACCTGAACGTGGTTTTGGGCGCTGCAGGGCCTGCGGAAGGTTTTGCATTCACTTATTAGGATTTAGGGTTTTGGCATCCGTATACTTAGAGAGCTTACAACACTCTACATAAAGACCTTAAGCCTTAGATTATCGAGAGGGGTGCTCAGCTTGTCTTGGTGCATATAGCGTGGCGTGATGAGATACTTTGGTGCTGGGGCTCTCTCATTAGGGTTTAGGGTTTAGGGTTTAGGGTTTAGGGTATAGTTCCTCCCGAACGGCTTCGGGGGGCGCTCCAGGCCCCCCAACCACCCAGAGGCTGCATGAAAAGTTATTCTTTGTAGCTTAGATTTGGGATTTTGGGATCTTATAAGGTAATCCCAAAAGGGAACTACTATGGAGGCTATGTGTACCCTCTAATATATCCTAAATACCCACTATGACTATGAAAGGTACTTGGGGAGTGCAAAGCGGCACTTTAGGGCCTATTTATTCAGACCAGTCGCCCCAGGCAAAATCATAGGTTGTGACCCCCGTGATTTTAGGGCTACCGTGGCCTTAAACCATCAAGGGGAAGCCTGAAACAGTGCGGCAAGTCCAAAAAAGCCAAGGCAGGTACAGCAGCAGTGTTCTTGAGTGCGGTGACATATGGGGGGTGTGTTTCCTCCTCGTTTTGAAATAAGTTCTGAGAAATGCGTTCCAACCCTAAACCTATATGCCCTAAACCTCATAACCTGGACTCTACTACTTAGTGGTTTGTAAACTGCTCTGGTGGCTAGGAGCCTGGCTTTCTCTGTTACATCTCCGACTAACCTGCGCGATCTTCAAATCCTCATTTTCTAAGCCCTGGCATGCTGC